CGAAATTCGTAAAAGAATTCTTCTGAACATACGCGGCGGCCTAGCAACAGGGTTTCAGGTGACATCGAGTGAGCATACCGCCCATCGGTGATCTCTCATCTCTGAGTCACTGAATAAGCCCCGTGTTATGATTTTAGATATTTGTCAGGGAGTTTATATATTCGTTAGTGACACTGCAGGACAAAAGTTTGTGGCTCACTCATTTTTTCGTTATGTGTATTGCAGTTGTATCTCTTTACGGTTGGGTAATTAGGTACATCTGACAAGAGGGTACTAGTGAAAGCCTTCGTCACTGATCCAATTCCAAATAAAGTGTCCTTGGTGACGTTCACTCCCTGTTCAATGTCCGCCTGTCCGAACCCCCGGGTCCACGTCTCATCCCCCTTCACAACAGCCAGGGTCAGCCCGGGGACCTCCTCCACAAACATTTCGACCTTACTGGCCTGGTCATCGGTGAAAATCCCGCCGACCCGGCTGAGACAGCGGACATGAGCAGCAACGCTTGCATACACCACACCATGCATGCAACCAGACACAAGTTGTAGTCCTACAAGTAAATGAGTAATGATATATTATCTTGGTCAATGTTGTGAAATGTATATATTAGACAGGACTCAACACCCGTCGGCGCATATGGACGAGATGACAGTTCACATTACGAAAACAACCCAAAAGGGTATTTCCTATATGGGGATCTATCTACACTGCATGACCTCCTCCACAAACTTGCATACACCACATCATCTAAAAAGCTATGCTAAAAAACGTCACTGAATGCCAGACAATTTGGATATGAGGTGCGTTTCTTTTAAAAAAGGTATGACAGATCAGAGCGCAGCGTCAGGCGCTAAAATTCCTTTGTCAACAGACGTCCCATACAGACAGTTCAAGTCTTGACATTGTTGACATGCACAAATACACCGGGGAGGGAAACCCATTCAAACTTGGGCAATCCCCTTACTCCTCCCGACTGTTGTAAATGTAAACAAGGGTGGGGTGTGTGGGGTGTGTGGGGGGTCTTGTGGGGTGTGGATATCGTTTGCCTGGGTTGTATTATTTCAGTGTCCACCAAACATCGATTATTTATAAACACCGCCATATATAGCTGGAATGTTGCTGAGTGCGCGTAAATCTAAAATCACTCACCTTGAAATACCTTGTACAGGTATCTGCTACTAAAAATACATCACCCCTCGTTCGCAGTTTCGAAAACTGTTACAGAGCACACATATCTCTATCAATAGGACCCTCTACTAAATGTGGAAGAGCATATGTGCCACAATCTGAAAACAGCTTATCATCTACGTTACTTGTACACAGGCGATACTTTCATTTACGAAGGGGATACTTTCATCTTCGTAAACGATACTTTCAGCTGATACTTTCATGTACGTTGATTATGTTTAAGTAGTTGCTACCTTAGTTGAATATAGTTCTTACAAACGTTTGATATAGCAATATAAAGACACACACGCCCGCATGCACACATGGCTTAGCGATAAAATGCATGAACACAACGAGTTCATTTAACAATGTTCGACACATTTAAACGAAGTGTTTCTATACATATCTAATATACTATCCCCAAAAAGAAACGCATAAACCAAAAATCTGTTGTGTTTTCAAACATGTATAACTCGTCCACAAATAGACTTTAGTGCATGAATGTTTACACCAGGTTAGAAGAAGGTAATGTCTATACAACCAAGTGGATACTTTTAGATAACGGAGACGCTGAGCGCGATGGTGACGACGTAGCACGGTCCCGACGTCGGGTCACCTGGCTCTCAGACCAATCTCTTTCAACCTGTTCCGTACAGTTTGACCGGATATCCTCCGAAGTCCAGGCACCCTGGCTGCTGAGCTGAGCTCTCACCCGTGGCAGTACGATCACGCAAAAGAGTACCCGGATGTACCGATCTTGGGCTGCAGTGGTAACTCGAGGTCTGCCTGTAGGGGGGGCGGTCATTTGTTATACCTGTTTGGCTGTAACGAGCTGCAAGCCGTGATATCTTGCTCAGACTAACATTCAGACACCTGGCAACAGAAGATTGGTAATCTCTAGCGAGCATTTTTTGAATGGCGATGTTCCGTGTCGCAGAGTCAAGACGCGACGTAGTGATTTAACCTTGAAACTCCTTCAAAACGAATGCCAATTTCCGAAAGTAATCTGGATTTTTATTGCCAGACAGTGCATGCTCTTTGCTGCACAATTTCAACTGGAAGGTGATTTCTGTTGCGTTGTGGCGATGCCTTTTTAATCCTTGTAAGAAATCTCGTCAAAATCATCATTTTGAGGTAAAATCGATTTTTCACTTGTGCAATTGTGTAAAATCATGTTATCAACACTTTTGTTACATATTTTGACGATTGTTTGAACACAATAGGTAATTAATGGATTTTTAAAAATACAAATCGCCTATGCGTTTCTTTTTTGGGAATGGTATATTATGAGTGTACCTCATAAAAACACGTCAAGGTTGTCAAGTCAAATAAATCAGTCACTATGAACTGAGGTTACATAAATCTAGTCGGCAACTATTGTCCGTACATTGTAGTTGATTATTCGATAGTTGAGCATATTAGATTAGTATTTTAGATTATGATATCATATAGGTAGATGTGTGTGTGGTATCAACTTTTATACGCGCTGAAAAACTGCTACAGATATTGGATGTGATATCGTTACCGTAAGGATGCATTTAATTCAAAATCAAACATATTTTTTACCAAACGTATTATTTCTTTCATTTCTTCCTCGTTTGATATATTTAATTGTCAAATATAAATGACGGTTTTTAAAAACTAAACGCTAAAAATCCTTTGTGGAATCTATACCTTTTCTGTCCCGTTAAGTTCCGGTGTAACAGGCCAGAGTATACCCCTGTCCCAGACTATACCCGGGGTTAAACTGGGCTAGCCCAGACTATACCCCAGGTATAATCTGGGGTAGCCTAGTCTGGGCTAGCCTAGCCTAGTTTATACCCCGGGGTATATTCTGAACTAGATCATAGTATACCCCCCCAGCCCAGATTATACCCCTACAGAAAACAAGTGATTAAGGATACTACTATAATTTTATTGACTTCGCATTCAAACGGGTGTCAGGATCCAGGTCATAGATGTGCTTAGGATACTTCTTATCAGAGCTGGTGTAGTAGTTCAAGATCTGGGTATGCACTTTTAAATACTTGTACATGACACCGAGATCAGTCTCCAGAGTCACTCATTCATATTGATAAACAAATACCAGCCCCTACTCACACTATCACCAGCCCCTATTCACACCAGCCCCTTCTCACACCGGTTATCTCCCATTAGTTAGACAGCCAGTTGTTAGACAGTGGAGTAGGGTATTAATTAAGACAACACCCACCTCCAAAATGGTGATAATGATAATGTCACTTATAAAGCCCCAAAATGGTACAGCCCTAATTAGATTGATGAGTAGAGTGTGCCCGTAGTTAATCTGTTCATGTTGTTGTTGAGTTTCTATTACAATGTAATGTGTTTGTAGCATGTGGTTTAATCTTTCTCATTTCACATTTGATTGGTTTAACACTTGTCAAAATGTTTTGTTTAATTTTTTTAACTTATATGTTTTCTCTCTAAAAGTCAAACTAATTTGTTTCACAACAAGAAGGTAGGTATATAATAATTCCACAAACACCTTGATGATCTCCATAGACCATCAAATCTCCCAAAACAATAATAGAATAATTCCACTTTTTACCATCTTAAAATTGTTATAAATATGTATATAATATATGTTTTTTAAATTTTCAAATCAGTTTTCTCTCAAATTTTCTATTTTTGGTTCCACCTCATTTCTTAATAAGTGTAATTCCCCGTCGCCGAAATACCTTAGTTAAAGCAGATAAAGCAGATAACTAACTACTAACCTTGATGATATATCAGCATGGCTGGGTTACGCAAAGTCGAAAATATCACATCGCAGAGAGGCACTAAACAAATGCTTCATAAATTTTGTATTATGCAGTAATGTAAATAAAATGCACCTACAAATTCCTTTAAATGACACCAAGACCATTGCCCTGAGTCACACACTCATATTGAGTGAATTGTCAACATAATTTTTTAGGGGTATAGTCTGGGCTGGAGGGGTATACTTTGGCCTGGTCCAGAATATACCCCCGGGGTATAAACTGGGCTAGCCCATAGTTTACCCCGGGGTATAATCTGGTGGGGGGTTATTCTGGGCTGCTACACCGGGTTAGAATTGACCTACAGCAACCCATGCTTGTTGTAAGAGATTGCGTGGTCAGGCTTTCTGACTCAGTTGAAACATCCCAATTGCTTAGATCGATACTCATGTCAATCAATGGATCGTCAGATAGTATCAGTTAACTTTCAGCGTGCATAATTACATTATTATTGAGTTGAGATATTCCTATATATACAGCTCATCAAAAGTTTAGACTCACTAGTGTAAATATAACCACTTCATTCAGGCAACTGTTTTTGCAAAATATGCCATACTGTTTAAAGGTACTGTTTACACATGAACTAATGTATTGTAAAACAAATTCGTATCGTTGAAAAGATTATTGTCATGAGTTCAGTAAAGGATGAAAATCAGTGAAAATTGGCGAATTCTTAACAATTCTTTACACCACAACGCATCTGTTCACATGCACGATATTTCCACGTGCTTTTCAGCAATTTGATGCATGACCCTCGTGCAATTCAGCTGCATAGAGCTTGCAGGTGGTTCCCCCCAAGTCTGTGGAGAAATCAACCTTCGATGTAAATGTATATATAACATATAGTGAGCGTTGTCAGTGAGACTAAATTTTCGAAGAGTATATACTAATATGGATAGATCCGATAAGAATGCAAATGTGGTTACTTAAAGGGAACCATTGTTGAGTCAAATACCAAGATGCAATGTTTTCTATGATCAGGAAGCAAATTCATGGCTGCATATCCAATAACACCCTATGTTTTGCCTTAAATTCAAATACTGGTATAAAAAAGCGAAATGTGACAATATTTATAAACAAACAAAATGCATTACATCACACTGTTTACATTACATAAAGTACACGTGAAGCATATCTTTGTAGTATCATCAGATAAGAATACAGTGGGTGATACAATGGAAAGAGAGTTACCCATATTTAAACGAAATATTTTGTTGTCATGATGTTCAAGGGTAAAAGGTTATTATTGCACGTTCTCCACCTCTAGACTCTAGAAAAAGCCACGTCCTGTGAGTGCCTTTAAAAGACGTTCAACCCATTTGTTTCTAAACTTTTTTATCGTAAACATCCAGGCCTCTCGTAAATGTCAGATTGTGAGGATCAATGAGATCCAGTTTCGAATACCTTCCTTCGTTTAACCCATGAAAGTATACTTTAACAAGAACCGTGGCATTACCGGGCCGAGAAAACAATCTAAACGGGTCCCATGCATCAAATTTGAAAGTACTATTATCAGTTGTGGTGTTCAGAGAGCCCCGTAACCTGTTGTAGAACAGCTCCAATGACGACCCTGGTCCCCTCTTAACTTCAAGGTCACCAAACAGACGCTGCCCGTATTTCCCAACATAGCAATCAGGGAACTTCACATCGGAGTTCGTGACGTCGGAATTATTTTGGCCGCTTGGTGTCCACTTGTCCCATGGCAAAGGGAATGTGCAAGCCGTGGATGAATTTAGCCAGGGTTGGTCACCAATCAAAATATCAGAAACATAGAATGAGATAAGTTTTTCTCCAATTTCCTCATCCTTTGTTCCTGGTCCATTTGCACTTACAAAGATTCCGAAGTGCACGTCGGGGTAAAGTTCAAGTGAGGCTATGTATGAGTGAAAGTTTCCACCATGCATGAACTTTTTATATCCTGGAAAATAACAATCAAACCAACAGTACAATACAACACCAGAATACATTAATAACGCCCAAGGTAAATTCTCATATAGTCACGTTACTTGCAGTCTTGTTTGTGGTTGTATATTGCTTTTGTCACTTTTGGACGTAAGAAGAAGCAAACAACAAACCTCAGAGAATACCTAGACTTGACATCTAACCAAACAGATTCCTCTTGGAGAAAAGAGCAACATTAAAGTGAAAATATAATGTATGCATCGTCCAAAATCAGTGACACCAGGTTTTCAAATAAGACAGTCATTGTTTATCTTACTCATGGGAATAAAAACGAATTTAACTCATATATGCTCATTGTTGATACTTCATGTGTTAATAGTAAGGGAGAGAGTTTAATTTAACGCCGCTTTTAGCAAACTTCCAGCGATATCATGCAATGGTAAATACCAAATTTGGTTTCTCGCTGTCTTGTTCCTCGCTGTCGCTGGCTTGTATATGCAGTGCAATGTACATCATACTCATTTAAGTATGACAAAAGTCAGGATGGTAACTTACCCTTATACGTCGATATGAACCATGCATAACCATAAGCATACTCCATGTCCATCACGGGATACTTCGGCTTTGACAAAGGTTGACCGCCAGTAAAACTCTCGTGAGGATTGAAGACCTCCGCAAGTATTTTAGAATTAACCAATGTGACGTTGTCCTCCGTCACCCCTTGCCTCAGCAGGAAGTGCATCCATTTAGCCATATCCTCTGCTGAAGTCGCAATAGCACCCGCGGACTCTTCTGGGTGAATGCTGAAGAGAACCAAGATCATCAGTTAAGAATATGGTACCGATATTTCCATCGACTGAAGAAACCCGTGAAGGTCCGGGTTAGAATGAGCCTTCAGTAACCCATGCTTGTCGTAAGAGGCGACTAATGGGATCGGGTGGTCAGGCTCGCTGACTTGGTTGACACATGTCATCGGTTCCCAATTGCGTAGATCGATGCTCATGCTGTTGATCACTGGATTGTGTGGTCCAGACACGATTATTTACAGACCGCCGCCATATAGCTGGAATATTGCTGAGTGCGGCGTAAAACTAAACTCACTCACTCACTACATCGACTGATATAAACCACTGAATTACTTCGCCTGAATTCTATCAAATGCTGCTGTCTCTCTTTCACCATGATGGCTGCAATTATTCCACATTATAGCTAAAATGGATAGAATTATCATTAAAACGCCCGCTTATTATCAGAAATGAGCGGGCCACTGTAACTTGATAATGCCCCCAAATTGCTTGACGACGGGCAATTATCATGCCCGTTGTTAACTGAAGTGTTCATAAGGTGTTCAATCACCTATGGCTCGTTTGAACATGGGTTCAGTATTGACGATATTTCTGACTCACATTCGTCACATGTACCTGTGCCATTTATACACTTTCTTGCCGGTGCCAAACTGCACAAGTGTACCATAAGTTACAACAGGCAGCAATGAAAACATCGACTGGAACTCGGTCAAGGTCGAATGTCGTCACTCAATAGTGACGTCATCTGTTTTGTTCTAATACGTTTCCATATTTGTAAAATGTGTCAGTGACCTCCGTCGTTTGTTGTTAGCAGTATATGCTTCAAAACCGATACCGTTGTTTGGTTTTATTTTATTAAAAATTCTATCCATTTTAGCTATAATAATGGTAACACTATTTTTCACGGCATTATCATTTGCCCTGTAAAATAGCGTTACCCTTATATTATGAAACTTGTTGACACAAGGGTTTTTGAAATGTTTTGCATTTTTCATACTGGTAACTGTTTGATCCTATAAATGTAATAAATTCTAACATGGATACATGGATAACACTACCTAATAACCTGAAAAGGAGTGGTATTTTTTCAGTTGCATACACTTATTATCAAGCAAAAGATCATAAAGGTTTAATCTCACTCGTAAATAGAAGGATCCGTTAATACGAGTCTGTTCTCCACGTCAAAATACGGTTTTGCCATCGCTGGGGTATTTACGGTTGCCGTCTTTCCCAGAACACGTGACTGGTTCATCCCCAGTGGTTTGAAGATCCGTTTCTCCAGCGTTGCTTCGTAGGATTCTCCTGACAACACTTCCACAATACGGCCGAGCAGAGCGTACGCCCAGTTGTTGTATTCAAAGACATCACGGAAGGTTGAACTTCCGGAAGAAAGCGGAAACGGCTGTGAAATGGCCAATAATGTCATGAAAATCAATTTGTGCGTCACCATGTTACCGTTTGGGAATGTAATGGGATTGTAATTTGTATCTGATAAGGAAGTAAATATCCATGAGGTCAAAATGCGAAAACCAAGACCCGAGGACTGTGGTCTGAATATATATACTACCATGACTTCAATAAATACTGGATTATGATTACTTAATTAAAGTCATTCATATATACATCCGTGCATAAAATAAGCACCACCCTGTAGTTTTACCAATTAATTTTGTCTGAAATGAAATTCTTAACAAAAATAACCTTTATAATTTGATGGGCAAGCATTTAACATTTAAAAAATTTCATTGAAATTGCCATGTTCTTTAATAAGGAAAATTGCCTATATATAAAACAGGTGTTATTCTGTCCTAAAACAAGTTACCTTATTTTGAAAAGTGAAAGTAATAATTGATTGTTATGAGGCCTATAAATTTGTTATTTATTGTGAATGGATGAAAGTTTGCAACTAAAATTTAGGAAAAGTTAGAGTCAAACTAAAAAAAAGTAAAATTTTAAAATGCAGTAAAAGTTACTTTACAAACAAAACAAACAGATTTTAGCTGTAATTATAAGTATCCGGCAAGGAGAAGTGTTTATTCAATGCAATAAACTCAAAATCATAAAATATTTATTCCAAAATCTTATTAATTTGGCCTTTTTCAGTTTTTGTCAATTAGCAATCTGAATTGCTGGAAAAAGGTCTGAATCTTTGACATTCGGGTTCGTCCTGATTATGCATAATTAAAGCTTACTTGATGTGTAAATGCCATCTTGGGATATAACAGAATTGTTATTTTTAGTCAAAACTTAATTTAATTGTGTAGTTTGAGTAGGAGAGGAATGGTTATTTTGGGTAAAAATTCAGTCCCATCGCATTTTCATCAACATATCCTTTCATAAAGAATAGAAAAGGTTATGGTATTTGTCAATGGATAAAGCTTCTTTAACTTATAGGCTGATTAAACTGATGGCTATATCCTAACTCTTCTGTAGCATCACATCTTAATTTCAAAATAGGGTGGTGCTTAATTAATGCACGGCTGTATATATAGACATATATACATAAAAATTACTTGGCAAATTCAGTTCTCGTGAAGTTGGGATCGAAGCCAGCAAAACTGGGTAAGACTGCAGGCTGCAGTCCTGTTCGGTGGGACAAAAGATCCCTCAGAGTAGTCTCCCTTGTTCTTTCCTCGTCCACAAATGCAAAGTCTGGCCCTAACACGTCCTTCACCTTTGACGTCCATGTCAAACTGTAACATAGCAATAGACACGAATAGAGACAAACGTTTATAAGTATACTCGGCATATGTAAACTATTCCTCGTTGTATATAAACTGATAATTTTAACTGCAAACCCCCCAGCAAAGATTGACGATAAGTCGATGAGTGCAGGGCTGTAATTAACATGAAAACGTGACTGTGCAGATAAAGCACATCATTAATACCGAATGCAATAACTTATGATCAGGAAGTAGTTATTAGTAGTAGTACCCACTCAATACGTAACTTCACGCGCTTCCTCTAAATATTGTGCACCTGTGAAGATCCGGGTTAGAATTGATCTTCAGCTACCCACGATTGTAAGAGGCGACTAACGGGATCGGGTGGTCAGGCTCGCTGACTTGGTTGCCACATGTCATCGGTTCAAATTGCGCAGATCGATGCTCATGCTGTTGATCACTGGATTGTCTGGTCCAGGCTCGATTATCTACAGACCCCAGCCATATAGCTGGACTATTGCTGAGTGCGGCGTTAAACTAAACTCACTCACTCACTCTAAATATTGTAATAAAGTAATAATAGCCAGGCGTGTAACTGGTAAAATATGCAATCTGTTTATATTTTATGTCTTCCACACACCTTCCATTACTTTCATCAATCATCATGGCCAGGAGGGTACTAGTGAAAGCCTTCGTCACTGATCCAATTCCAAACAAAGTGTCCTTGGTGACGTTCACTCCCTGTTCAATGTCCGCCTGTCCGAACCCCCGTGTCCACGTCTCATCCCCCTTCACAACAGCCAGGGTCAGCCCGGGGATCTGTCTACACCGCATGACCTCCTCCACAAACATTTCCACCTTACTGGCCTGGTCATCGGTGAAAACCCCCGCCGACCCCGTAGAGACAGCGGACATGAGCAGCAACGCTTGTAAACATCGCATCATCTTGTTAAAAGTGTCACTGAATCCAAGAACGAGACAATCTGGATATGAGGTGTATTACTTTCTCACAGTATGATGACAGATCAGAGCGCAACGCCATACGCCAAGGTTCCTCTGTGAGCACAACCTGCTCTTCACAGAGACCAGCTATGTTTCAGTAGATAACATGTTCAATTGATGGTGATTAAAGGTCAGTCATAGTTGTGCAATCTGAAGATTAGACAGGACTGTTATCAAAACATAGGTGCATTAATTAGGACGAGATGAGATTTCGTATTCTGAAAAAAAGCCATACAACTTTGTTATCTAAACCCCAAAGTCACGGCAGCTATATGGTGTAGGTTGATCATGATTATTTTCTGTAACATTGTCCCATAGATTACTTCTTCATTCCCTTTAAACCCCTTGTACAAACATCTCACAGATACAATACAAAATCCGGATCATTCGCAACTGTTATTTTGATATGATATTGCACGGCGTGTAAACATATCTTATCACTTGATGACTAACTTGCCCTTGGACGTATCAAGATATGTGCAAGGTCACAGGTGAGGGGGTCATTGATATATTGTGATCCTGTAATAGGACGTGATTAAATGCTTTATAATAATTCATGTTTCAATAGAACCCCTTCCTACAATAGCTTGTGCAAACGATGTTGAAAAGAATTTGTCAGTTTCTTAGAAGTTTATCAGTACTTTGTGTGCTCTTGTTTGTGTTATGTTCATATTTGAAGTATGTACCAATTTGTACCTCAGTTGTTGAAGGTCATTAATACAAAATCAGAATCGTCATAGAACGTCACTATATTTAAATGTCTTTGTTGAAGGCCATACAATGTAGATAATGGCAAATAATTTACAATGTGTTTATAGAAACACACGTACGATTGTAATGTCAGAGGGTTTAATCGTTAACACGTTAAAATGTTATGGTAATGGCCTGCTGAAAGCTCTACTAAGAAACGACACCAGAGTTTTCAGGATTGTCTGGTCTGAATTCTGTTGTGTATGTTATGCTTCAATATTGCTGAATGTTGCATAAAGATATTAAACACACAGAGGATCATGTAGGACCAAGGTCCTGGACACCCTCTGGATGTCTTTGGTGGCAGTTCACTGGTCTATTTTATGTTCTATATTGCTGTAAAGGTATCAAATAGTTATGTGTCTCTTTACTTTGATACTTTGAGTGGTGTGAAACAGGGTTGTGTTATCTGTTCTATAGTATTCTTACTCTTTGTGGTTGAGGTGGAAGCTTTGTTACATGAATCCAATGCTGACCTTGACCACCCGATCCCGTTAGTCGCCTCTTACGACAAGCATGGGTTACTGAAGATCAGTTCTAGCCAGGATCTTCACATGAAAGAAGGCAACTTAGTTATGCTCTTCAAGGTGAGGTGAGGTGAAATTGGGTTTAACGTCGTACTTGAGAATATTTCGCTCATATGACGACGTGCATGCGTGTGTATGTGTATGTGTATGTGCGGCTGCTTGTACTAGCCCAGACTGAAGCTGGTTTTATAGTGCTAGCCCACTGAGATACCATGCCGCAGTGAAGCATGAAAACCCCACTCAGACACATTATACTGACTCCGAGCCGACCAGTCCTTGTTGTACCCATTAATGCCGAGCGCCAGGCGGGGACCAACAAGTACCATATTTTAACGTCTTTTGGTATGACGCGGTCGGGGATCGAACCCGCGACCTTCCGCACTCCGGGCGGACGCTCAAACCACTAACCACGGAGGCGGTCTTTTCCCAATGCGGACACCTGGTAGAAAGTGGACTGAAACTCAAGTTTGCACTTAGAATCCATTGAGTTTCCGTTCTTTTACAACTGACTTTGCGCAGGAACTGAAACATACAATCACCCACTTTCTAAGGGTTTCCGCAGGGCATCCGTTACCCAGACTCCAACAGGTTACCGCAGAGTTTCAGTTTCCAACAATCCGACATAGTTTCCGCATGGTTTCAGTTACCAGAAAAACTAAATTTTCCGCAGCATTTCAGTTACACGGGTTCACAGGTTTTCAATTTTAAACATTCTTATTCATACCTATTATAAACTCTTGTTAAAAACAATATAAGTTATTTGTTGTAAATCATAATGTTTACATAAAGAACAACAGGAGATATAATAAGATTCACTGTTTTATTTTCTCAACATTAATATGATTTATATAAGGCAAATAAAGATCATATATATAACTTATAATATAGCACTAAAACAGATCAAAACAATTAAGGCATAACGTAATCCAATTTAAGAAATCATAAATCATGTATAACCAAGTAGTAATATCATCAGTTAAACTTTCATTCGGTTATTTTGAAGTAAATAGCATTTTAGATATAAAATGTATTTCTAAAACCATGCTAATCGATTCTGTATAAAAAATATTTTAAATGAAATTGTAAAAAACAATCAAACACATTTTACTGATACTGTGCCTAATTATTGGCACAAGAATTTTATTCATTTATACATTTGAAATTTAACTTAAATATACATTTATTGAATGGGCACCGCTCCCTAAGGCTAACTCTTGACATCATGGTGTTTCCAAGTGAGAGTAGATGCGAGTGAGTGAGTGAGTGAGTGGTTTTACGCCGTTTATAGCAATATTCCAGTAATATCACTGCGGACACCAGAAATGGGCTTCACACATTGTGCCCATGTGGGGAATCGAACCCGGGTCTTCACATGACGACGCTTTAACCACTAGGCTACTCCACCGCCCCGGGACGGTTATGAATGTCACCATGATCACCATGTGTATACACGTGCATTGTGATGCCAGCATGGGCCAACAGGGATCTGTGCTGAAAGTACACCATTATTGCTGATGGCTTTGGGTATCACACGTATACAAATGTGTGCACTGGACGTTTTTGGCCAAAGCATCAAGTAATTAAAACAACAAGCCTTGGTAATCGTGACGATTCTCAACAGAAAAGTCTTCCTTATGTACAAATCCATGCCATTAGTAACTGAACAACAAACAAACAAAAAAACCCACAAAAAACAAAAGACCAAAATACATTTTGTTGGTAGAATGTGTTTTTAATAAGCTGTGTCTACATAGTGGTGCAATAACATAATTTTTCATTTTGTACAACAGAAACAACAGTTCATTATTGAATCTGATCATTGATAATAAAAACCTCCCCAAATCGAGACGTTTAAGAAAAAAAATGGTATATATCATAGGCAAATGTATTATAATTCTTTGTGTTATTGGTACTTCACCAGATTATGAATACAATGGATTAAACTATGTAATGGTTTGATCGCCAAAACGCACTTTACTTCGCGGAAGAATCGTAAGATAAACTCGTTTGCGTGCTGTTCCCATACACTGAGTTGAGTTTTGCATGTCGAAGACTCGATTTGTTTACAAACAACATCGTGGAACTGTAGAACTACTGAAACAAATATATACTCATGACATTGTCACAGATGTACAATCGACTCTGCTTTTTGCAGAGATTTCTCCTAGATGTGGAAAGGGTTTTGTCGCTTCTATCTTTCTACTTATATCTAGAGAAAAATCCTCATGTCATAAGATGCTGAAGGGCGAATATTTATTACTACACAGTGACTACCTTAAAAAGAAGACTACAGAGAGTGACGCAAATACCAACAAAAGATTGCTCAACTCCTTGACACTCTGTCCATTTGTGTCAGGTTTGGTACCTGTGAATATGTTTTTATCGTAAATGCTTATACCTCTGGTAAATGTCAATTTGTGAGGAAAGATGAGGTCAATGTAAGAATACTTTCCTTTGTTTAACCCACGGAAGATTACTTCCACAAGAACTGTAGCATTACCTGGTCGAGACATAAATCTAAAGGGTTCCAATAAATCAAGCTTAAATGTTGCTTTCTTATCCGTGGTATTGAGAGAACCCTGTAACCTCCCGTAGTGTAGTTCCAGTGACGACCCTGGTCCCTCCACAACATCCACGTCACCAAACAGAAGCTGCCCGTATTTCCCAAAATAACAGTCAAGGCAATCCACATCGGTGTTGGTGACGTCTGAATTATTTTGGATGCTTGGTGGCCAATTGTCCCATGGCATGGGAAACGTGCAGGCCGTAGAGGAATTTAGCCAAGATTTATCACCCATCAAAATATCAGAAATGTAAGATGCGATAATGTTTTCTGCAAATCCTCCTTCCAATGTTCCTGGGCCATTTTCACTTACAAATATTCCAAAATCCAAGTCAGGGTAGAGTTTAAGGTAGCTAATGTACGAATGTATGGATCCAGTATGCATGATCACGTTGTATCCTGGAAAATAACATACACAATTACAATATGTAAACAATATGAAGACCAATGTTGCTAATTTAGTATCACTATCATGTTTGTTTATGGTTATGAGTGAGTGAGTGAGTTTAGTTTTACGCCACACTCAGCAATATTCCAGCTATATGGCGGCGGTCTGTAAATAATCGAGTCTGGACCAGACAATCCAGTGATCAACAGCATGAGCATCGATCTGCGCAATTGGGAACCGATGACATGTGTCAACCAAGTCAGCGAGCCTGACCACCCGATCCCGTTAGTCGCCTTTTACGACAAGCATAGTCGCCTTTTATGACAAGAATGGGTTGCTGAAGACATATTCTACCACGGATCTTCACGGGTCGTTTATAGTTATGGCATTATGTACTGGTATAGTTTTCATTCATAAGAAACATTCTAAAGTTAAAAGGTACAAAATGCCAGGGAGTAATCGATTATCAAAGAAACCATGTCCATGTTGGTGAAAGTTACATAGATAATTGAAAGATCAACGATACACCAGATATTCCCCTGAAAGACTTAACTGAGCAGGAATATCCATGGGCTGCTCAATAATGTTTAACTTAGTATAGATAAGAGATATGTAAGGAATATGTAATGATAGTGATATTGTACAGTAACGCTTGAACATGTAAAAGCACTTGTTTACTCTTTTAAAATGCACAAACAATATTGTCTGTACACTGACGAGCAAAAGTACCTACAACAAACAATCTTGACAAAAAAAGATATTCCAGAACATGTGTTGTATTTTGAACAATTAAATAGCTTTGATTCCGATATTAAATATAATGCTTGCAAAATACAGGATCCACGTGGACAAGAGCTGTGGTGCCACTGTGTTTATCCCGGTCCACACGACATGAACATGATGTTACTTAAAAGAACTTAACTGTGGTTTCCAGTGTCAATGATTCTTAAATTAGTATATATTGAATAATATGTGATAGTATATTGTCAGACTTGAACAAGCGTTACTATGTTAAAATAAACTAAAATATTATGTTAATTACACTGATTCAGATTTATAATGCCGTGTCTGCAAAATATGAGTTGCATTAGGAGAACAGGCGTAGCGTAGTGCGTTTAGCCTCTGTCCGAAAGTAAGCAAAGAGGATACGTGACATGAAGAGGGACATTGTGGAACTTACATCTTAGCTTTGTAACTGTTTCATTCCATTTAGTCAATGGTATTCATTTGGTTACAAAGTTTGCTCGTCACACTTACGACCCAGTTCGATTCGTATTATGAATGGTAATGGCCAAATATCAGTCTATTTATGGCTTGATTTGCGCCCAATGCAACCTACGCCATACTCATTTAGGCCTGACAGTAATTCTAGTTTGTTTCTTACCCTTATATACAGAAAGAGACCATCCATAACCGTAGCCATACTCCAAGTCCATCACGGGATACTTCGGCTTTGACAGGATCGGACCACCAGGAACGCCCATGTGAGATCTGAAGACCTCCGCAAACGTTGTGGACTTGACGAGAGTGACGTTGTCCTGCGTCACTCCTTTCCTCAGCAGGAAGAGCACCCATTTAGCCATGTCCTCTGACGAGGAAGCAATAGCACCTGCAGCCTCTTGTGGATGTATGCTGTGGAGAAGCAAGGTCAGTAGGTAAGAAGATGTCACTAATACTGAATATTTCCATGTATTGAAAATGCTATCAGTGAGTATCGCTGCTCATGCTATCAACCACTGCATTACCTTGTCTAGACTCGAATATGTACAGGTCGTCATGCACTAAGAGGAATAATGATGAAGAATAATACATTCCCTCTCTTACGAAATGTGCCTCGTCGTCGTTAATGTAAATATATAGAGATCAGTAATGATGACAGATGGAATGAACATCCTCTGGAATCTAAATGTCTGTTTTGTCATTCATGAACGGTTGTTTTGGTTGGCCTACAAATAACCAAATGTAGGCATCGCACCACTCAAATCCTGAAATGGCTTTATAAGCTGAAGATGAGTGGTATTTTTCAGTTGCTCAAATCAATAATCAATCAAAAGTGGTAAAATGTTTCATCTTACTCGTAAATTGAGGGATCCGTTAATATGAGCTTGTTCTCCACATTATAGTACGGTTTTGCCATTCCTGTTGCATTTGCTGATATCGTCTTTCCCAGAACACGTGAATGGTTCATTCCCAGTGGTTTGAAGATTCGTTTCTCCAGGGTTGCTTCGTAGGATTCTCCTGACAACACTTCCACAATACGGCCGAGCAGAGCGTACGCCCAGTTGTTGTAGTCGTACACGTCACGGAAGGGGTGAACTTCCGGAAGAAAGCGGAAACGCCTGTGTAAGGAACAATAATGTTCTTAATATTAATAATAATAAATGTGGAAGCCAAGCCCCCAGAATTTCAGTCTCACCCACGTCAGAACTCTTCAGGTTCCTTTGTTTTGTGAGTTCTGCTTGATTTCGTCAAGAGTAATGAATTGTTATCGATGGGATAGGACAAACGTATCCTTTTCGCGAACACCTGGTGCCAAAATATATTTTCAGTGATCCTTTCATATATTCTCCACTTCTATTAAGATATTAAAGAATGGCAAGATTTAACTTTTTGCAATACTTTTTTTTAATTACAACTGAACGAAGCCTTATTCATAAGAATCTGCTAACAGTCTCGATGTTGAACAGACTGCATGTTGTGTTCTGTCAGATGATGTTAATATCGATCACAAGACAGGTACCATTAGTTAAAATATCATGAGTTAAAGTATTTTCCATTCAAATTTTTTTACGGATTCATGTGCAACAAAAAAGGAACAAAATCCGTTTATAATACTAATAAAAAAGTATCTATATCATCACTTCAACATAATGTCAGGGAAAAGCAAAATGTCTCGCAGACAGTAGACATAGGTACTAACTACAAGGATCACAAGTCAAGGTCCTGCTATGTTAAAAGGCGTTTGTAACAAGAAGTAGGTTAAGACTGGGGGCATGTATACAGTTCCAACTCGCTACATACATTGGATATTAAACATGACTCAAAACACTATTATATATGACACTGTTATTAGTCAGTGAGAACTGTCTCAGGCTACTGTGATAACCAAGAATACTTTGGCAAAAGCGCCAGGTAAATAGGGATTACCGCTTCACCTGGAGTGAGTATTATGCGTCCCTTGATGTGGCAAGAAAGTGAAATGTGACTTAGGTTGTAAACTACACGATAAACCGAGCATCTTGATCAGGAATAATATTGGATTCGGAAGAAAGTTCAGCGAATACTGGCAAGTGTAAGGAAGGCAACCCCGCCTGCAAATTGTGACGCCTCAGATAACTGAGCCACCCTTTCCCTCTGGTACAAACATGAAATTAACGAGGTTCGTCTGTACATTTTCCTGAACTATTTTTTTCAGAATATGATCTAAAGAACGTTTACTTTGCTAAGTCAGTTGTCGTGAAGTTGGGAGCGTATCCAGCAAACACTGGAAAGATTTCAACCTGAAGTCCAGTACGGTGGATCAAAAGATCCCTCAGAGTAGCCTCCCTTGTTCTCTCCTCGTCCACAAATGAAAAGTCTGGACCTAACACGTCCTTCACCTTTGACGTCCATGTTAAACTGGAATAAGGCAAAATACATGAATAGAGACAGATGTATACAAGTGCAACTTGGTATACCCACTGATACTTGCTACGTGTTTCTTATTCATCGCTGTATTTGAAACCACAAACACTCCCAGTAAAGTATTCCTTCATACTTGGGACCGAAAGTAACATGAATATATGACTGAGCAGGTATCCAGGTTGGATAGGGATCCTGAATTTTCCTTCAAAAAGGTTTTAAATAGTTTAATTAGTTTGACATTTTAAAATTTATTGTAATGTTTAAATGTTAAGCACGGTTATTTATTGCTCGTTATTGCTCTGTCATGCAGTTCACTTAGAGTATGAAACTAGTTGATGTTAATATCCCGGAAGTGAATAGTTTTGGAAAACCTTTCGTTCAATGGACATGCGTATACATCAGATACACTCTCATTAGTCATTAAAACTAAGCATGTAATCATTTTTAAAATTTTAAGTCTGAAATGTTTCCGTTTCACAACACATGTGGCCAGGAAGCTTTTTAATGGTATATGGACCTATGCCTGTATGTACACTCAGAACACAGCTTCGTGTCCCTCCTGATCTAGAGGGGCGGTGGGGTAACCTAGTGGTTAAAGCATTCGCTCGTCACGCCGAAGGCCCGGGTTCGATTCCCCACATGGGTACAATTTGTGAAGCCCATTTCTGGTGTCCCCCGCCGTGATATTGCTGGAATATTGCTAAAAACGGCGTAAAACCTTACTCAGTCAGTCAGTCCTGATCTAGAATTGTTGTAAAAAAGTAATACCACCGGTTCATACAGTGGTTTCATTCTCTAGACATTAGTTCATCGAACAACCTATATATGGGCTATAAGCTTCTGCACAACAGACAATTTTATTATCCGCAATACCGAAGTCACTAACTTCGAATTCATTACACGTTTGGCTTGGTCACTTCAACACTCACATCTGAGGACTTACCGAAGAATACATTGGTCTGATGAAAGCCGATTCCTTCTACATGGAACTGATATACGCAGGTACGTAACGTAGGATGCAGGCCGTTGTCAATGACTAGGAGTGAGCGAGTGAGTTAAAATTTTACATCACATCGGCAATATTGCAACCATATCGTGGTGACAGAAAGTCATAAATTAAGAATAAATCTTATAATACTTTATAAAATGCTGATATCGAAGGACAGTATAACAACTAGATTATCACATAATTTCAAAACTAGTTTGTGAGCATGTAAAATATTTAAAGTATCAATTGATGAACACAATATCAAAGGGGCTAGAGATCGCACGCAACTAAAGTTAGGCCACCATACTAGGAACCGTCAGGACTCACAATACTTCTGCTTCCACCCGTGAAGGTCCGGGTTAGAGTTGATCTTCAGTAACCCGAGCTTATCGTAAGAGGCGACTAACGGGATCGGGTGGTCAGGCTCGCTGACTTGGTTGACACATGTCATCGGTTCCCAATTGCGTAGATCGATGCTCATGCTGTTGATCACTGGATTGTCTGGTCCAGACTCGATTATTTACAGACCGCCGCCATATAGCTGTAATATTGTGCGGCGTAAAACTAAACTCACTCACTCACTACTTCTGCTTCCTGCACATTTATACCACCCCTACAGCTGCTAGCGATTGTAGACAAGGTTAGCCATATATCTAAAATATACAATTATACTGTGATTAAAAACGGTGATAGAATAGAATATTCTTTGAATGATTCTGTCTTATATACCCCCCAAGCACTAGGAGGGTTCACAAGATATAATTTGTACAACAATGTTCAAATGATGTTGTATGTTCCCTTATTACAAATAAACGTGTTTATCTCATCACATACACGCCGTGTTGGCCGATCCTGTCTCTGGCTCCATACTTGTATTAGGTATCATTTTAAGCCAAATTGAGTATTTGTGTATTGTGCCGTATCCATTATCAAAACGTTGAAATCCCCACATTGGTACAATGTGTGAAGCCCATTTCTGGTGTTCCCCGCCGTGATGTTGCTGGAATATTACTAAAAGCGACGTAAAACCAAACTCACTCACTGATACTCTTATAGAAGATTGTACTGCGAATGTATTTTGACCTGCCATCTATTGCGTACTGACATTGTAATTACTTTGCAGTGATTCTCTTTGATTTGTAAATGTAGTTAATTTAATAATTGTTTGTGTAAAATATTTTTGTACTTACACGTAGTAACTGGCGTTAAATGATATTCGTTTCCATGTACATATTGGCATGGTAGTCGTTTTGACAACGGTGCATTTCAAACGGCCGTGATGTTGCTGGAATATTGCTAAAAGCGGCGTAAAACCAAACTCAGTCAGTCAGTCAAAAAGTTGAATCACACTGGCCTTTTTTTGGTTTTCTTTAAGTCAAGATGTTATCTTACAGTTAAAAATGCAAAACCACTGATTGAGCCTAATCATACAAATTTGTAAAAAATACCGAGGTGCTTAACCTTGTCCAGGTGTATAGGGTCGTTTATAGTATTTGTACCCATGCCTTTATATGTACTGATCTAGAAATATTGTCATAAAGTACTGTCGGTCTATCGCTAATTGTGTAATAAGTAGATTTTTCACTCGGCGTCTAACTTCCTGTACCTCTTGATCTATAAATATTGTAATAAAGTAATATCGCCAGTTCATTATACTGGTAGAAAGTATTATCTGTGCGTCTCTCTCATACCTTCCATTACTTTCATCAATCATCATGGCCAGGAGGGTACTAGTGAAAGCCTTCGTCACTGATCCAATTCCAAACAAAGTGTCCTTGGTGACGTTCACTCCCTGTTCTATGTCCGCCTGTCCGAACCCCCGTGTCCACGTCTCATCCCCCTTCACAACAGCCAGGGTCAGCCCGGGGATCTGTCTACACCGCATGACCTCCTCCACAAACGTGTCCACCTTACTGGCCTGGTCATCGGTGAAAACCCCCGCCGACCCCGTAGAGACAGCGGACATGAGCAGCAACGCTTGCATACACCACATCATCTTACTTGAAGTCAACCAGGTACTGCAGGCTGAACCAGACACTATTTGTAGTCGTACATGTAAACTACGCCCACTGAGTAAACACATGATCATGTAAGAGGCGATATTGGGTAAGAGGCACTCGTGAAGAGCAACCTCCTCGTGGTGACTGCTGGATAACGCCGATAGGACTTCATTGCGGGTGGTAGGTGGACGAGCTGTCTAAGGCGCCAGGCTAGTGATCCAGCGAGCTTGAGATGCCGGGATCGAGCCCACCTGTGACCGTGTGTAAAACCTTGGAGTAAACTTTGTGTGCAGACTCTTTCAGTGTTGCCACAACTATGTGCATTTAAAAGAACCCACGAATCTGTTGGTATATGACCAGATGTTGGGCACATGAATACGTGCAAACACCTAGTTGCGGGTACAGCAACGTGCAGTAAACTTGGACAAAGTACTGGGGCGCGAGCCTTAGTGGAGCCGCCTCTGCTGCAGATCTTGGTGGTAGTAGCAAATATTCAAATGTCCACCCAGCTGAGAATGGTTACCTCGTAAAGATGGGAAAGCCACATTAACTCGGTGCGCCTTGTGGCTGCAAGAGTTGTATGATCAACAGGGATTGAGATTCATAATACAATGTGCCGTTTGAGATTGACATCCAATGATCGAGGGAAAAACAACTTGTGAAGCGCCTTAGAGTGATCTAGAAGTAGTGGCATATAATAAAACGGGATGCTGATTTCATTTTGATTTAAACATATTTTATTGACAAGGAAGAAGGTCGAGCAAATGTTTTCTTAGGTAGCCCGCTCCCCAAAAATGTAATTATCCTTATATACTATCCTTATATACTAATCATAATTTATATATGTATAAAGAAATGAATATATACAAAGATAGTAAGTATAATAATACAGTTGAAATACAGACAAAAGTTACAAAGAGAATATATAGATATTAACAGGGTATAGCAGAAACAGTGTATAACATATATCTAATTATTTTAGTCTGATTTATATATGTATGGACCGTGTAAAACAACTGTGGGGAGGGGATCACAAAATCCTCCCCCAACTATACAGAGCACTGAGTTGTTCTAAACTTGGCTACGCTTCTTGACTACTCCATCATTTGTGGTGGAGCTTGTAAAGGCAATTTAAAACTACAAGATCCAAATCATCGTCAAGGACTAAGGCTTTGCCATGGCGCTTTCAGAACCGCACCGATTCAAAGTTTGTATGTTGAAGCTGATGAGCCGTCCCTAAAACATTATCCCTGCAATATGTGTCTAAATGACGTTCTACAAAATGCATTTGTATCCTCTTTATAAAGAACTCAACTATAAAAGATCCAAGATCCAAGGATGGTGATATAGTTGCCAGTGTCACCGTCATTGGATCCAGGACTCAATCAGTAAGACGGATAGATCTTCCTTTTTACAGCCGAATTAGTAAGCAGGCAGAAGACAAAAAATAATTTTTTTCAGACTCTCTTGTCTTCAGGCAATAACAAAATCTGTCAGTTAAACACTCATTGTTAATCGGAATTCTTGAATTGTTCAAATATCTTGCTACCGGACAATACGACATCCTCGTCAGTTGGTTATACGGGCATGTCGGAATTATTGAGGAACACAATGCCTGATGCTGCTGCAAAAGTAGCTTTCAACAAATCTGTAACAACACTTTTCATCCCATACAGAGATTACAAAGCTGTTATCAGTTGTGCATCCATTATCTGATGCCATAAGGTGTGGTACACCCAATTATGCATCAATAAACTACGTGAAATTTAACCATGGTCATTAGGTCGTATTGGCCATACAAGATATATTCGCGAATATATTATATTAAAAGTGAGGATCCTCCATTTTGTATCCCTTGTGATGAAAGAATCATGGTCAAGCATGTTATGCTTGACGATATCGATTTTTCCATCACAAGTGATAACCATTTTAAAGTTTTATCCTGAAGGAAATTATACGTTATTGCACAAATTTTAATTGATATGTTTTGTATGTAATACGTTTTTTTTAATATAACTGGTAGAAAACATTGGTAACAAATAAAAAAACAATTTCAAAGTTTTATCCTTGAAGGATCTTTTTAATTTCTTGCATTTGTTGTGTGTGTGTGTGTGTGTGTGTGTGTGTGTGTGTGTGTGTGTGTGTGTGTGTGTGTGTGTGTGTTTGTGTGAATTTGATTGGTATGTTTTGTATATAATACGTTTTTTTAAATAATTGGTAGAAAACAGTGATAACTAAGATTCTTTGTGGCTGTACCCCTGCATGGGTTCAATACTGTCTAAATACTTGGCATTATTCGAGGTTCGAGACCACGCAAAATGATAACTAAATAAGGAGTGTGCAGGGGTCAAGCTCTTACTTGGTCAACAACACCATAACGGTGTTTGACTGAATTGATATGTGAAAGTCTGGCATTCACTTCCTTTTTAATTTTCTCATTTCTGTGAAATGGTGAGCGACATTGTAATAGTTTCGCCCGCAGCATCTTTCAGGTCAATTAACCAAAGAGGCACTAAAATCGATGTTCCTGACTAGTTACATGAAATCAGAATATGAAATCATGAAACAAGGCCACTAATGGTCCCTCAAAAAGACATGCCAGAGAGATATTATCACTTGATTTGATAAATACCAAGTAAATTCAGGGGCAGAAACCGCGTCAAAATAGCGTAAAACTAAACTCACCTCACCCACTCACTGACCGTAAATCTTTATGTATGAATAATGGTATCTTGATTATAATTACCTATTCTTACATGTCTCTGTTTCTTCGCCATTGATATCAAACGTCTTCATCGTCAAGTATTTATTGTGTTATTTGGTGTGTCACTGCCTTGTACGTTTTCACTTCCTTGATTCTGGTTTCTGCAAAGATTCCGGCTATATATCTAGAGCCAATATACATCCGAGTCTGGATGAGAATAACAAGTGGTTAGTCCTGAATTGGTTGGCTGGTTTGTTGTTTAATGCCACACTCCAGAAATATTACAGCTATATTGCGACGGTCTGTAAATAATCGAGTCTGGACCAGACAATCCAGTGATCAGCAGCATTGCATCGATCTATGCAATTGGGATACGATGGCATGTTTCAACCAAGTCAGCGAGCCTGACCACCCGATCCCGTCAGTCGCCTCGTACGACAAGCATATAGATTGCTGAAGACCAATTCTAACCCGGATCTTCACGGGTGGTTAATGATGGGCAACGCCTGTACACAGGCTTTGTTAGAACTAAAATGATTTAGTAATTATGAATGGAGATCGTTGTGTTCAAGTGCAGAGATCCTTCAGCTTACATATTGGGGGATATGTATGTTTTTCAACACATAGCTGAGAAGAGAGTGGGAATTTCCCTTTGTAGTTGCCTCAATATAATTGAGTACAGTCCACCATGAGAATTATGAAAGGTTTGAAAATCTGGTAGAACGTGAATCAGTGTTTAACTCGTATTGTTTCAGACCATTTCCGTAATTTACTTTAAGCCACTATCAATATACACCCTGTACTCTCTGCGTCGAATTTTATAAGCAATAACAACAACTACCTGTATCAATTACTGTCTGTTTATTAAAATAATCATTGTAAACGAACATTGTGCAATCTATTCACAATTAGGATAACAAATGGAATTTGTCTGATCACCATGTCTATCAACGTGCAATGTCATTGTGCAATTTATTCACAATTAGGATAACAATGGAATTTTTTAGATCACCATGTGTATCAACGTGCATTGTCATTGTGCAATTTATTCACAATTAGGTTAACAAATGGATTTTGTCTGATCTCCATGTGTATCAACGTGCATTGTCATTGTGCAATCTATTCACAATTAGGTTAACAAATGGATTTTGTCTGATCACCACGTGTATCAACGTGCATTGTCATTGTGCAATCTATTCACAATTAGGATAACAAATGGATTTTGTGTGATCTCCATGTGTATCAACGTGCAATGTCATTGTGCAATCTATTCACAATTAGGTTAACAAATGGAATTTGTCTGATCCCCATGTCTATCAACGTGCATTGTAATTGTGCAATTTATTCACAATTAGGATAACAAATGGAATTTATTAGATCACCATGTCTATCAACGTGCATTGTCATTGTGCAATTTATTCACAGTTAGGTTAACAAATGGATTTTGTCTGATCACCACGTGTATCAACGTGCATTGTCATTGTGCAATCTATTCACAATTAGGTTAACAAATGGATTTTGTGTGATCTCCATGTGTATCAACAGCATGTCATGCCAGAAATGACTATACGGGATCAGCGCTGACAGTGGCTTGGGGTGTTTTGCGTACATCATTAACCATTTATAATTATATGCCTACGTAAATCGTGACGATTCTGTATCAAATTCATGTAAATTTTCAAATTAAAAAAAGCCAAACAAATTTTTTTTATACTGCGCCTAAATAGTGGCACAATAACATCATTTTCCATCCTATACAACAGAAACTAACAGTTCAGTATTGAAGCTCATCATTGATAATACCATACCAATTGAGACAATTAAGAAAACGAATCATATGCATCATATCAAATTTTCATTTTACAAAGAATACCTTAAATTTTGCTGTTATCTGAAATTGTTCAAGATATGAATACAATGGATTACCCGTGTTATCGAAGGTGTTCAAAATGTTTCTAACATGAAGTCCTGTTATTATAAGATGCCAAAGAGCGAACTTTTATTAGTACACAGTCACTACAGTATGGAGAAAACAGCACAAAGTGATGCGAACACCAACAAAAGATTGCTCAACTCCTTGACACTCGTCGCACTTATTTCAGGGTTGATAACTGTGAATATGTTTTCATCGTGAAAGCTTGTACCTCTGGTAAATGTCATCTTGTGAGGTAAACCGAGGTCAATGAAGGAATACTTTCCATTGCTTAACCCACGGAAAAGTACTTCTACAAGAATCGTTGCATTACCTGGTCGAGACATAAATCTAAAGGGGTGCCATAAATCAAGCTTAAATGTTGCTTTCTTATCCGTGGTATTGAGAGAACCCCGTAACCTCCCGTATTGTAGATCCAGTGACGACCCTGGTCCCCTCCTAACGTCCACGTCACCAAACAGATACTGCCCGTATTTCCCAACATAACAGTCAAGGCAATCCACATCGGTGTTGGTGACGTCTGAATTATTTTGTAACTTTGATAGCCAACTGCCCCAGGGCTTGGGATACGAGCAGGCTGTAGAGACATTTAGCCAAGGCTCGTCACCAATCAAAATATCAGAAATATAGAATGAGATAAGGTTTTCTGCAAATTCCCCATTCGACGTTCCTGGGCCACTCTCACTTACAAATATTCCAACGTCCAAGTCACGGTAGAGTTTAATGTAGCTCGTGTACGCATTTAAGGCTCCAGTGTGCATGCTCACGTTGTATTCTGGAATATAACATCCACAATGAAAATACATAAAAGAAAGCTAATGTCGCTAATTTTAGTATCACTATGATATTTGTTTATGGTTATGGCATTATGTATTGGTGCAGTTTCCATTCATAAAAAACATTCTGAAGACAAGTACAAAACGTCAGGGAATGATCGATTATCAAACAAGCCAATTACATTGTGGTGAAAGTGATGCAAAGATTAGTATAGCTATGGAATAATTTGTATTGACACAATGCTGTTATATAGTATTTGGACATGTGAAAGCACTTGTTTCTTTGTTAAAATAAACTTAAAGATAATGTTAATTATACTGACGATCAAAGGCCAAGAGCAAATCTACAGTGCACAGATATAAGAAAAAGGTATTCCAAAGGTAGCTTTTGCATCATGAATAGACAGCAGTGATTCAGCTCTATAATGCAGTTATATATGGGATGCGACATATGGGATGCACGAGGAGTGAATGAGAATGGTTTTACGCCGCTTTTAGCAATATTCCAGCAATATCACTGCGGGGTACACCATAAATGGGCTTCACACGTTGTACCCATGAGGGGAATCGAACCCGGGTCTTCGGTGTGACGAGCGGACGCTTTAACCAATAGGCTACCCCACCGCCCCAGCATTCATTGATATTCCTCCACTTCTACCCCACCGCCCCGGATGCACGACGACAATAGGTATGATGTCAGTGTGATTATCCGCCATCCGAACTTAGCATCTTAAAGCACTCGTGACATGAAGAGGAACATGGTGTAATTTGTAACTGTTTAGTCGATGGTAGTCTTTTGGTTTGCCCGTGGCACGTACGACCCAGTTCTATTCCTATTATGAATGATATGGTAATAGCCAAATATATGTCTATTTATGGCTTGATTTGCGCCAATTATAGGATATACCATACTCGTTTACGCCTGATAATAATTCTAGTTTGTTTCTTACCTTTATATACAGATAGATACCATGCATAACCATAGCCATACTCCAAGTTCATCACGGGATACTGCGGCTTTGACGTTAACGCCCCGTAGGGCATATACTCGTGAAATTTGAAGACCTCCACTAACGTTGTGTACTTGACCAGTGTGACGTTGTCCTCCGTCACCCCTTGCCTCAGTAGAAAGTGCATCCATTTAGCCATGTCCTCTGCTGAAGACGCAATAGCACCTGCGGCCACTCCTGGGTGTATGCTGTGGAGAAGCAAGATCAGCAGGTAAGAAGACGTCCCTAATACTGAATATGTTCATCGATTGAAGTGAGTGAGTGAGTGAGTGAGTTAAGATTTAAAGTCACATCGGCAATATTTCAGCCATACCGTGACCAAAACAATTTATACAATAAAAAGTGAAATGAGAACATTTGACATTGAAATGGAATACATGTACGTTATAAAAACCTGTCGACGAAGGACAGTAAAACAACTAGAATATCACAATTACAACTAAAACTAGTGTGGAGAGTTAAAACGGATAGCACTATTTGGACAATACAATATAAAAACAGGCTATAGATCGCCAACACCAGAAGGTAAATCACCATACCAGGGACCATCGATTGAAGATTTCATCAGTGAGGATCGCCCGCTAATGCTATCAATCACTGCATTACCTTGTCTAGACTCGAATATGTACAGGTCGCCATGCACTTGTCATACTATGTTTACGACACGAGTGCCTAAATCCTGACATTTCCCGATCGAGAGCGAGGGATATGCCCTTATTTAGGCACGAGTGTCGTAAACATAGTACGATATGGGCACGAATATAATATTCTATTTATTACCGAAGTCTTCAAATTAGGGAAAGTAAACCCAAATCTACTTTCAAACAGACTGGCTGCCCCCCCACTGCCGTATGTAGACGGCATAGAAGAAACGTGACATCATAGCATTGTTTATGACGTCACGTCACCATGACAAAGTGATATTTTGCCCTAGGGCATCGTATGAAAAATATTAACCCTGATATTTTCACCCTCGAAGGTAATAATAGGATTACTGATGAATGTGGCTTAGAGAAGAATGATACATTCACTCTCTCACAAATTGGGCCTCGTGGTCGTTATTTCAAATATATAGAGATCAGTGATTATATAGAGATCAATGATTATGAATCAAACTAGGTGTAATGAACATGCTGTAGAAACTAAATGTGCGTTTTGTCATTCATAAACGTGTTGTGGTTGGTCAAATAAGGCCCAAGCATAGATACATGAGTAACGCTCCACTCAGATCCCTTGTAAACTTTAAAAGCTGAAGATGAGTGCTATTGTTTAGTTACTTAAATCAATTATCATTCAAAAGTGATAAAATGACCTCACTCGTAAATTGAGGGATCCGATAATATGAGCACGTCCTCTACATTATAGTACGGTTTTGCCATTCCTGTTGCATTTGCTGATATCGTTTTTCCCAGGACACGTGACCGGTTCATTCCCAGTGGTTTGAAGATCCGTTTCTCCAGAGTTACTTCGTAGGGTTCACCTGACAACACTTCCACAATACGACCGATCAAAGCGTACGCCCAGTTGTTGTACTCATAGACGTCACGGAAGGGGTGAACTTCCGGAAGAAAGCGGAAACGCCTGTGTAAAGAACAATTATGTCATAAACACCGGTGGTTCAACCAGAGTCGTCATTGCAATACCGTACTGGATTGTAATGTGTATGTAACAAGTAAATACATACTCCTGGTGAAATCAAGATGTGAAAACAAAGCCCGAGAACTCGGTCAGGTTAGAACTCTTCAGGGCTCCTTCTTTTGTGTGTTCTTGCTCATGCATAATGACTTCGCCAAGAGTAATCGGTTATCATAGGTAGGGCAGGACATGCCTATCCGTTTTACAAACACCTGGTGCCACGATAGAATTTCAATGATCAATAAAAATAATCACCACTGTCATACCTTGATCTGGCAGCTAGACTGACGTTTTAATTTTCTCAAACCAAAATTCACTGAATTTATAAAAAAGTCTGAATTTCACACTTTTTAGCAATACTTTGTTTTATCAGAATTACAACTAAACGAGAACTTCAGAAGAGTCTCCGAACAGTGTCGATAATTTGGCCACTCCACCTGCGAATTGTGACACCTCGGATAACTAAGTCAACAGTACACTCTGGTACAAAGTGACATTACCGATGCCGTGTCTTTACATTTTCCTTAACGTTTTTCTAAATATGATAAAAAAACCCGTTTACTTTGCTAAATCACTTGTCGTGAAGTTGGGAGCAAATCCAGCAGAAATGGCAAGGCCCGCAGGATGAAGTCCAGCACGGTGGGTCAAAAGATCCCTCAGAGTAGTCTCCTCTGTTCTCTCCTCATCCACAAATGCAAAGTCTGGACCCAACACGTCCTTCACCTTTGTCGTCCATGTTAAACTGTAATTATGCAAAAGACATGCATAGAGACAAATGTATACAAGGGCACCTTTGTATACACACTGATACTTTTTTGACAAGTATCAGTGTTGAATGACTACAATTTGTATGGATATACAACTTCTTTATTCTGTATAGGCGACGTTTCGACATGCATAGGCGACAACGACATTAGAATCTATGTCGAAACATCGCCTATACACATTAAAAAAGTTGTATATCCATAAAAACTGTCCTCAATTATACACTGATACTTGCCACGTCTCTACTATTCCTCGCTGTAAATAAAACCACAAACACTCCCAGTAAAGTATTCCTTCATACGTAGATAAGGGTAGATTATTAAGGGGCTGAAAGTAACATGAATATGTGACTGTACAGGTATCCAATTGGGGTAGGGATCCTGAAAAATACCTTCAGAAAAGTAATAAATAGTTTCGAGCAAATTAAATGCAATTTTCATTTGTTTGACATTAAATTTATTTTTAGGAATGCGTTGAGTAAATGTAAGTGCGACCAATTGCTCATTTTAACCCTGTCAGGCAATTAACTTTGAATATGAACTGATAAATATGATTGATTATAATATCCCGGAAGTAAATCGTACAGGAACACTTCTCGTCCGGTGGACATTCTTCTACATAAGATACACTCTCATTAGTAATTAAAACTAAGAGTGTGTAATAATTCTTTTTAATGACACGGGTCATTTTATGTCTTAAATATTTCCGAATCACAACACTTATGGTGAAGAAGTATTTTATGGTATCATTACACATGCCCATATATTCACTCAGTACATAACTTCGTGTCTCTCCTGATCTAGAAATGTTGTAATAAAAGTAAAGTGGTACCAATCTCTAGACATTAGTTCATTGAACAACATATCACGATTTTCACAACACATAATTTTATTATCCCCTTTACCAAAGTCACTAACTTCATTAACTCCAGACAGCTGTTTATATTAACCTTGGAAAATGTAAACACAAATATGATGACCGCTAACAGAACTATTGTCCCGTTCAGTTGTATATGATGGTACGCATGCCAATAATGCTCCTTTAAGAAATTACTGCAACTGTACTTGGTGGAAAGTGTCTCCCAATCACACCCTGTAGAGCATCTCCAGAAGCAAACACACGAATTGTCTTTTGTGCATGTGGCAGATGTCAGTATTTAATCTGCATGGCTTTATTCATTTATCTGCCACTATGGAACGAAGAAGATTTTCAGATGTCAGTATTTAATCTGCATGGCTTTTTGCATTTATCTGCCACTATGGAACGAAGAAGATTTTCAGATGTCAGTATTTAATCTGCATGGCTTTATTCATTTATCTGCCACTATGGAACGAAGAAGATTTTCAGATGGCAAGAAATAGCAGATTATTGGTGTGCATATCTCCAGTATGTCCTTTAAAGCAATTGGTCGGGAAATGAATGTCCACTATAGTCCGTTTGACTTCATTTGAGACCAATGAATTGCTCGCTATTCGCTATTTCTTACGAGGGAGGACCACTTGCTGGTAGAACAGCCAGGTGTGCTAGTTGGCACGTGTGAAATTGAAACTTCACTGCACACGCTTGTTGACTACCAGCAAGTGGTCCTCCCTCGTAAGAATTCGAATAGCGAAAAGTGACAACAAAATAATGATCGTTTGTTAAACAACTATTTTATTCGGGTGTCCAAAATTATGAGACAAATCATCAGAGATGGTCTGTCGATTTCATGTGACAGTGCAAAATTCGGTTTTGTTGCAATTATTAGATTTTGTGTTAGTGAGCAATTCATCGGTCTCAAATGAAGTCAAACGGACTATACACAGTTGTCAGTCGTTTGGTCAGAAAATACACGGAAACGAATGAGCTGTGGACGACCCAGATTGACGTCTGATCGTGAAGACATGGCACTATTGAGGCTCACTCGGCGTCATCCTTTCACAAGCACCCTTAATCCTAATTAGGCCTCTAATCATCATATCTGGACATGGAAATGAAACTTAATGGGGTGTGGATGAAAGCATTGTTCAGGGGAAGGTTGAAAATAATTTGCTGGGTCATGTCGCTCATCCTGCAGTCTGTTCGGCTGAACGTTCATGTGTGAATTGACAGACATGAGTCCCTCAGTACCTGCTATTTTGTAAATGTCCTCTCCTACCTGAGCACTTTTCAATCATGTCCGACAAAGTGTGATGGCGCCTGGTGAACAATGTGGGGAGGGCGTTTCTGAAAATGAGGTCTTTTATAAATTGATCATCATTACAATCCAAAGGGATGCCTCATACCGCACAGATTGAAGAAATGAACGAAAGTCTTCACGTTCTGTTTGTTTTCTGTCCATCAGGGCATTTTTCCGAATGATGCCTTGGATGGACGTTGGACCGTACCATTGTGAAAAACATTGTCTAAGTTCAGGCCATGTCATGTTATCTTTACTAGGAAGGCCTTCATACCTTAAATTGGAAAAGCTGAACAATTTTGTCATCATTGTAATTTTGAATTGCCACAAATTTCTGGAATCGACAAAGCCAGGAAGGTGCTGATCGGGAAGCATGTCCGTCGAATAATGGCATGGGAAGGACTGTGAAGCTGACACGGGTGGTGGACAGACAGCGTCACGGTCAGGGGCGGGGAGGAGCATGGAGGGCAGAACAGCAACGGCCACAACAATGGGGATTATAAATACGCCATAGTGATCAGGGTGTTGAGGGGTAGATGGAAAATCTGAGCGGGTGGTTGTATTCACGGGAGTCATTTCATTACATTTAGATTTTGGGCGGATCCTCCAAGGAAAATATGATTTACTGGAGGATCCGTTATCCGATTTAGTAGAAAGAGAGGCATTGAACATGGAAGAATGAACCAAATAGTATCAACACTCACAAAGTGGAAAGTTTAAATTAAAACACAAAACAATCGGTAAGACACAGAACATTTCAACTAAAAGTCACAATGTCAATGACACTTGTAAGTGGGAGCCAGCTGGACCTCTTCGTCTTTGCGTTTCTTGCTGTTTCCTCAGACACAGGATATGAATGTAGGCGCTGTGTACAGATCATCAACGGACCAGTTCTTGTTTGGGCATCGGTGCACACACAATAGCACAGTGATCATGTCCTTCAAACAGCCAAGAGTCCAAATTGATACACAGTTGACAGACGTCGTGGTCAGCTACTCTTCAGGACTAACCCTTAGTCTGATGTTGTTACATGTAGTTGGTTGACTTCCATTGTGATGTGGACCCAGGATGGATGTATATCGCCGGAGGTTCGCTCAAGACCTTTGTTGCCGAGAGGTTCCGAGATCTTGGACTCCACCATGTATCCCGGGCTGTTTAAACGGGATAACTATGTCTTCAAATACAGAAGTCCATCAGTGGGTCCACAACACTTTATTCTGGATTCAATATGTATACATACATGAAGTTACAACAATGACTAGGCGGCATGTCGGAGGCGATGGTCAGCCAACCTACCTTGTCGCTGTCTCGGGGTCAACTCTCGACTAACACAAAGCATTCTCAATTTATCCCTCAGGGTAGAATCCTCATCAGACTGTCACGTGTCGTATTTGTGACAGATGTGTGTCAGCCTGGAGTACCCCGCATCTCATCCACAATGTCATGCTTCAGTGGCCAACCAGCCTTTGTCTAATTTTGATTATGCAGCTAATGACTCTATCATGGTGGCCATGATGACAATGGTCAAGCTGTATTGATTTCATGTGTATTGACAGCATGGCCAATACTTAGAGAGATATTAAATTTACATCTCAAGGAATATTATAAATATCCCTGATAAACCCTGTTCCAAACTGCCTACGATACTAGATCTTTCTTTGATTGTACAACGTTACCAGATTATAAATAAACGTCTCTTCACATCCACGCCATGTTACCTGTTCCTCTCTCAAGCTCCATACATGTAACCGGTATAATTTTCTTAAGCCAAAATAGATTATTTGTGTATTGTGCTATACTCATAATTAAAACGTTGAAGGAAACTGTCCTTATTTGTTTTGTTTTAGTTAAGACTTGACCATGCCAATGTATTGTGCGTGCACACCACTAATGTTAGCCAAAACATGCAACATTGTAATAATTACCTGGGGTGCTTTACATTTGTTCCAGATGATGGTAGTACCCATGCCTATCTATTCACTGATCAAGAGTGAGTGAGTGAGTGAGTTATTATTTAACGTCACATCGGCAATATTTCAACCATATCGTGACGAGAACATATGTGACATTGAAATGGAATAGATGTGTATTATAATAACCTGTCGACGAAGGATAGTAAAACAACTAGAATACCACAATTACAACTAAAACTAGTATGGAAAGTTAAAACTAATAGCACCATTTGGACAATACAATATAAAAACTGGCTATAGATCGCCAACAACTGAAGGTAGATCACCACACTGATCTAGAAATATTGCCATAACGAACTGTCAGCCTCTCTAGTTGAGTTATACTTAGATTTTTCACCCGGTATCTAACTTCGTGTCTCTCAAGAAATATAATATGAATATGAGTAACTGGTAAAGTGTATAATATGTGTGTATCATATCAAGTACAAGCTCATTAGTTGGTTGGTTGGTTGTTTAACGCTGCACTCAGCAATGTTACAGCTATATGGTGGCGGTCTGTAAATAATCGAGTCTGGACCAGACAAGCCAGTGATCAATACCATGAGCATCAATCTACGCCATTGGGATATTATGACATGTGTCAACCAAGTCAGCGAGCCTGACCACCCAATCCCGTTAGTCGCCTTTTACGACAAGCATAGTCGCCTTTTATGACAAGAATGGGTTGCTGAAGACCTATTCTACCCCGGATCTTCACGGGTCATTTATGGTTATGGCATTATGTATTGGTATAGTTTTCAATTATAATTCACCCGATACCGTTAGTCGGGTTACTGAGGATCAATTCTAATCCGGATTTTCACGGGTCCAAGCTTATTTGTAACCAACACATCAAGTGTGTAGTCAATTTTAAAGATAATTAACTATGACCAGGCAGTAGGTTTTGGTTCTGGTACCCATACCTATATTTTCACTCAATACGCACCTTGACAACGACATTAGAATCTATGTCGAAACGTCGCCTATATAGAATATAGAACTTGTATATCCATAAAAGTAGTCCTCATTCTTTGAGTGTATTTATGTCACTGACATACCTTCCATTACTTTCATCCATCATCATGGCCAGGAGGGTAGTCGTGAAAGCCTTAGTCAAAGATCCAATTCCAAATAAAGTCTCCTTGGTGACGTTCACTCCCTGTTCAATGTCCGCCAGTCCGAAGCCCCGTACCCAAGTCTCATCCTCCTGCACAACAGCCACTGTCTGCCCGGGGATCTGTCTACACTTCATGACCTCCTCCACAAACGTTTCCACCTTTCTGACCTGGTCATCGGTGAAAATCCCCGCCGACCCCACAGAGACAGCGGACATGAGCAGCAACGCTTGCATGGACCACATCATCTCACTTGAAACCAACGAGGTACTGCAAGCTAATGTTTTTGAAAGATCCATTTTTATACTATACTGTATATTTTCACAGAATGGAAATTTGTATACACATTAGGTATCTATATCAGTTTGCAAAGCAACATGTTAGATACAATTATCTGTATACAAAAATATACACACAGCTCAGTGCAATGAAGTTGATACATTATTTGACTCAACTGAACACATAAAAATACAAGTATGGTCAGTAAGTTAATGCACCACCATGAACATGCATATATTTAAAGATGAAGGTTTTGGACACATGTACATTTCACTATTTATACTGTTGAATTAAGGTAAATTTTACCAATGAACTTGTAACGTAGTTTATGGCTTGTAGCCAGTATCAGAGTATTCCTTTGCTATATATTTGTGACAGGGTACTATAACAGCGGGATTACTGGTGGTAATTCAGTGTTTAAGGTAAATCTTTTCCTAAGTACTTAAGGTAATGGGACGATTCCTTTAAGACACATAGGCTAATATTTGAGAATATAGTAATACGTACTTGTCATTTGAAGTAAGCTTAAGGCACTGATGACAAGGACTGACCCAGCAATGGTCCAGGTGTGGTGATGTGAGGATAAGAGAGAGGTAGAGCGCGAGTGAAAGAGACAAAGAGTGTGAGTAAGAGCCAGGAGTGAAAGGAGCTAGTTTGAGAGAATGCTTCAAGCAGGGCTCCAGATAAAGGCCGTATCGGCGTATGTACGGCTAAAAGACATGCACGATACGATAGGAAATAATTTAGGAAACGTAGCAGATTCGCACCACAGCAAGTGTGTACGGTCTTAAAATCATGTACAGACGTATTTATCTGAAAAAAAGTATTTTTTTTATTGTTTACTGACCTGTTTACACAAGACTAGCAATGTTGTGGTGCATATATGAAACGAAACAATAGATTACTGATACGCCATTAAAGTCCATTCAGTACTCTAAATGTACTTTTAAGTTTTTCCAGTACTCCTATATTGAAAAAATAAGGAGTACGTACTCCTGATGTTGAAAAATTATCTGGAGCCCTGCTTCAAGTGTCTCACCACACTAACAGTAACTGAACTGAATTGGACTGGATACACTGTCTTCATTATTTAATATGAGGGGAGAGAAGCGCCTCCCAACGTGGTCACATATTGGTCATTTTGAGAGTGATAATCATGTGGATGACAACCTAGACATTTTATTACCCTTAAGATAAATTTGTCGAATTCTGATTGGTTAATAGGCAAAGCATACGAAACAATGTAGGCGGATTTGCCAGAGTGTACGAACCGTACACCCCGTCAAATCTGTCACGTGACACACTACACGGGTTTTACGAATGGCCTTGAACTCAGATGGAATGTGGCTGCCAAACGGCGGATCGCTTCGAAATTTTAGAGTTGGCGTATACAATAATGAGTATAAACAGAGTAAAAAATTTGTTGCCATAATTTCTTTTTTGTTTGTGTCAATAAATATATCCCAAAAATAAAATGTTTCTTTATTTCAATAGTCTTGTCGTTTAACAAACCTCACATTCTATCATTTTTTATCATAAACTAAACCATCCCTAGTTACCTCCCTTTATGACCGTTCTGGAACAATCATGGCGAAACGTTTTGCGTCTCATTCTGCCGAAGGTTTAATGTTGTTGCTTAAAGATAAGCTAAATTATAAGATCTTAAGGGTAATAAATTCGTCGCACGGTGTTTGAAAGTGTGTACGGGAGTGTCAGACCCTTGTAAACTAAGAAGGGTCTGACAGTCCCGTACACCCTTTCAAACACCTTGTAACTAATGATATCAGTAATTATTCAGACAGTTAGCAGTTAACTAATTTAAATCCTCCCCTGAACACACACACACACACACACTTCCCGTTGTTCAATAAAGTATTACCACTTAAACATCAGACTCCACCACTGAGCATCATTTTTACTGACCAAAAGTACCATTTTCTGGTCGTTCATTTTATTTCCAGCATACAATGGTGGACGAAAATGGGGCAAAGTCAGCGAAATGTACGTCACCATAATTGCTTTTTTGTAATACATGAAAAAAGGGAAAAACAAGACTTCAATAAAACAAATAATTGCTAAATTAAAAATACTAACGGAATTTAATTAATGCGGTCGTTCAGTTCCATATATTGTGTGTTAATAGTGTCAATAGCGAGCTGACACGAAATATCAACGCACATGTCGGTGTTGAAAATGGTGTGTTTGTTATAGTATACATTTCGCCATTGCAGCGACGACTTTCGTGTCTCGAAACTAAATTAGATAACGTTTTTATGCTCTAAACGTAACGATGGCTGCTGTTCTGGTGACGTATACATGCACTTTGAATACGTATCGATGACAAATGATATGAAAAGATTTTAACCACCCATTCTCTGATTTTCTATAGTAAATATACATGTGGAAAAAGTATCGCAACACCTAAGACCTTTTTCTCTTAAAAAGTGCAATATAACAACATTATGAAAATAAATGGAAACATTAACCTATTTCGTGTCTCAAAGGCAACGAATCATGATGCACGTGCTGCAGGTAACAAGTGTGGAGCATATGAAACACTTGCACCCCTTGTGTACAGTTTCAATGATCATTCACTCTTGTAAGAAAACGGATCTAGTGAGTGAGTGAGTGAGTGAGTGAGTGAGTTTAGTTTTACGCCGCACTCAGCAATATTCCAGCTATATGGCGGCGGTCTGTAAATAATCGAGTCTGGACCAGACAATCCAGTGAACAACAGCATGAGCACCGATCTGCGCAATTGGGAACCGATGACATGAAAACTGATCTAAAACGCAAACTTATTGTCTTAAACCACTCTTTGGGACCACCTCAACTAACGCCAGCCAAAAGATGCCAAGTTATAGGTATGGTTAATGCCGGTTTGGCCATGAGACAAATTGTCAGGCAATTATGCTACCGTCCCTCAACAATCAGTCGATTAGTGATAAAATATCACCAAACAAATGATGTAAAGGCTCTGCATCGTTACGACGCAGCCCTAATTAGACTTGTTTGGTGATTTCCCTTTGCACCAAGTCCAATGTTAAAACGGCAATAGCTTCCGCATCGACAACTCTGTCATAAATCTGGTAGAAATCGACTGAAAACGGCAGGTATAAGGCCAGGAGACCTGTCAGACGACCTTTCTTGACACGTCCCCAAATTGATGCCCGATTACGGTGGTCCCGTGACCGACATCCGTGGATGCTGGCTTCTAAAAGGAAGATCCCTTTTTTCAGACGAGAGCCGGTTTTTGCTGTTTGTTACTGACAGAAGGACGCGTGTATGGCGACAGAGGAACATGGCATATGCTCAAAGGAACATCCTGGAAGAAGTTCCATTCGGCGGAGGATTATTGATGGTATGAGGTTGTGTGTCGTATGAATGCAAACTTCTGCTTGTCACAGTGAGAGGAAACCTGAATGGACAAAGGTACCCAAAGGAAATCTTGAGGAGGCATGTAGTGGCTCATTTCGACAATCATCCTCAATTAACAAGGCCAATCTTTATGGATGACAACGCCAGGCCTCATCGCGCACGCGCAGTCATCGATTTCCTGCACCAAGAAGGCATTACCACCGTTCCATGGCCAGCCAGACGCCCTGATTTGAAACCTATCAAAGATGTTTGGGACATTCTGGAGCATACTGTTCGTCAGAGAGATCCGCTAGTCCAGAATACAGATAAATTAGAGCAAACATTGCACACAGAATGGAACGGATTGCCCCAACATCGGATTCAGCGTCTTGTGCACTCAGTAACGACGAGGGTTCAAAACGTCATCCAGGTGGGCGGAGGTTACACAAGATACTTACTATGTCTTCTGTTTCTGAAACTAGGAGCCTTATTTGTGGATTGAGTGTAGGAATTAGGTCTATGCATTCTATTTTCCGTTTGGGATGACCATGCTTTTATTGACACATCCTGCATCAAAAAGCCATTACCACCGTTCCATGGCTACAGAAGCCCTGATCTGAACCCTATCGAGCATGTTTGGGTCATTCTGGGGCGTACGGTTCGTCAGAAAGATCCGATAGTCCAGAATACAGATGAATTAGAGCAAGCATTGCACCAAGAATAGAACGGGTTGCCCCAACATCGGATTCAGCGTCTTGTGCACTCAGTGGGGACGAGGGTTCAAAACGTCACAAAACAACTACTGTCTTCTGTTTCTGTAACCAGAGACCTTATTTGTGGACTGGGGGTATGAGTAAGGACTATGCATCGTGTTTCCCGGTTTTGATGGCTAAAAGCATACGTTTATTGACACATTATTGACTTTTATTGACACATTATGCTACCTTAATTTCAGTTTTATTACAGGACCCATGTTTAATCAAATTATATCATTCAGATTCTTTATTGATGGCTTTTGTGTTAATGAGAAGTCTTTTCAGCACTTTGGCTACAAAATAATTCCCTGTGAAGACGCACATGACTTATAAACTGTGATTAAATATAGGCCCTGTCATAACACTTGGGTGTTGCGATACTTTTTTTCTCATCTGTATATGATCCGTGAAGATCAGAGTTAGACTTGATCTACAGTATCCCATGCTTGTCGTAAGAGGCGACTAACGGGATCGGGTGGTCAAGCTCGCTGACTGGGTTGACACATGTCATCGTATCCCAATGGCGTAGATCGATGATCATGCTGTTTGTTGATCAATGGATAGACTGGTTCAGACTCGATTATTTACAGACCGCCGCCATATAGCTGGAATATTGCTGAGTGCGGCGTAAAACTAAACTCAGTCAATCAATCCATCGGTATATAAGGCATGTTGCCTAGTAGTGACGGCCACCATTGAACGCGAGTGAATGTTCAGCCTGGTTCCTGGGTCAGTGTCGAAGCGTAGCGCAGCAGACTCAGGAATCAGGCTGAACATTCACTCGAAGATTGATAGCAAACTGTATTATCTAGCAGTGCTATTCTTTAACCTGTTCACCTGAGAGTCCGAACATATGATCTCATAGAAAAAGACCGCAACATTCTTTTTAGTAACTTATTTGTGTTTTGAATGACGTTTGGTTCTATTGTCTCAGCAGTGAGTCACTGTGACGTCATATGAATACAACGTCACGGAATGTAATTGATATTTTTTGGTGTTTTTTCAACTGATATACATTTACAATATTTTTTATTGGTTCCCAAGATTACAATGTAATATATATACAAAGCTGTGATTAATACAGATAAATTGTGTACAGGTACTATATCAGTATTATATTAATAAACATATATAAATCAATAAAAGAGAAAAATGATATCAGGAAAATTTGGATACATTTGAAAGTCTTGTAAGTACTGGGAAGAAAAGGCCCCATTTGTGATTGAATTTTGTTATTTTATTATTATATTATTATTACAATTTAGTGAGTTTAGTTTTACGCCGCACTCAGCAATATTCCACCTTATGGCGGCGGTCTGTAAATAATCGAGTCTGGACCAGACAATCCAGTGATCAACAGCATGAGCATCGATCTGCGCATTGGGGAACCGATGACATGTGTCAACCAATTCAGCGAGCCTGACCACCCGACCCCGTTAGTCGCCTCTTACGACAAGCAAAGTCGCCTTTTAGGGCAAGCATGGATTGCTGAAGACCTATTCTACCCCGGATCTTCACGGGTCATTATTATTATAAATAAAGTTATATTGGAGTGCATATTCTTAATACTACATATGTAAATATGTCTTTTTGCAGCAATGATGATATGATTTAGTAATCTATTTTGATGTAGAGTACCAAGCCATATGTTTTAATAGTAATATATGAGGATATAAATTGTTAAGCCAAATTTCATGGTTTTCTCTCATTCCCAGTACACATGACAAACACTCTCATTTAGAAACAACATAAACTGTTATCAACGTTTTTCATTTTAGCAATTCTCTTTTTGTGTAAATAATACCTTGTTGAAATCTATATTGAATGTTTTGTATCTTGCCATTTTTTCTATATAATGTAAATATATTTTTCCGGTCAAAGTCTGTTTCAGGAAATAAATGCTGTCATTTATTACAAATGTTTGGATGTATATCATTGGAAATAAATGTATCATAACAAATTCTGCACCATTTCGATGTTTTACTAAATAGATTTGGCATTAGTTTACATTGAAATCCCTGATTGGTATTGAATAATAGTGATTAAGAGTATTTTTCCAAGTGCCAGGCAATACGTGCAGTAAATATCTATAATCTTAAAAAGTACGTTTGATACCATATTTTGTAAAAGAATCTGTTGAGAATAATCCAGTTTCATCACAAATATCCCTCATATTTATAATCCCTGTATCTCCCCAGTAGTTTGATGAATTTTTGAAATTGTGATGCCATTGAAGTTGCTCATCCAATGCCCTGACTTCATCTCCTAATAAAAGCCAACAAATGCAACTTAATCCTCACCTGAAAATTCCTACTGTGTATACGTGCAAATATCGAAAGAATATTACGCACGATCACTCCATCATTTCCCGAATATGTATCTAAATATAGGAATGGGGTAATAAGACAATGTCTTACCTAACCTCCTGCCTGCTTTGATGGCTCCCAGTCGGAATTCCGGGACACAGACAGTTTCACGGTAACAAATAAATCATTTACACCGTCACATTGCGCTTCCCACCATGCAGCTGACGCGACATGAATCATTTTTAATTAAACTGTTGTGAATGAATAAATGTTGAGAGTCAAAATAATCAAAGCATATCACCTGTTATGGAAGGGGGAAAATTGAATCATAATTAAATTTGAAACAGCTGTAGCCAAACATATTGATACATGTCACGTGCTGAATAATCCCGTTATTGTCCAAGTATGTTTTTTGTGACAAAATATTGATCATATTCGTCATATCGTCATGTAAATCACTCAGGTTCATGAAGCGGTCATAAGTGTAACGTGAGTACGTGTGTTAACCCCCGTGTAATCGATCCCAGCATCTCTATGGCTAGTTGGATGTATGGTTATGTAAAAGCTATTTAATGTATGGTTACGAATGCCTGATCTACCTTCAGTTGTTGGCGATAAATAGCCCAGTTTTACAATGTATTGTCCAACAGAGTTGTCTACATTTTAAGATATAGGCTAGCTAGTTTTAACCCATTTTGTGATAATCTAGTCCTTCGTTGACAGGGTTTTCAAAATTATGTGTATTTATCATGAAAATGGAATTTGTTTTAGTCACGATATGGCTGAAATATTGCCGATGTGACTTTAAATCTTAACTCACTCACACACTCATATGGCACTTAACATGTTTTATTTTTAAGCAGTATTATCATACATTCTTCTACCAGAACCCATTCATGTATACAGTACCGGATATATAGGAAAACGAACTCGGTAGATCCATCTGATTACCATACACTGTAGATACACATTATCTAGCGATAGCGAGTCTGACTACTATAGCTACGACTGGGCGGACTACAAATACTGCTACTGCTAATAATAATAATAATAATAATGATGCTGTGTAAGGACTACCAAGACAGTCCTTTCTGCATTTATGCATTAATTTCAATAAAATTAACAACAACAACAGCAACAACTGCAACAACAATAATGATTAAACTTTTTAAATTGCTGCATTGTGTATTGATGTAAGTACAAAATTCCTTTTTAATTATAATTATAGACAATTAGCTTTGGAACCTCTAAATGTCACTGAAACCAAACGTGTTTTGAAACCGTAAAGAACTGTTATAGACCAGGGGCTCCTTTCACGAAGCAACCTTTACTAAGGTTAACCTTAACTCCCATTCTTTAGCATTGCACTAAGGTTACCTTAGTGACTTACGATCACCTTAGTGCTTTGTGAAAGGAGGCCCAGGTACGACATGCTTCTTATAAGAGGCGGGTAAGGACATCGGATGGTAAGGCTTGCTGACTTGGCTGATGCATATCATCGTATCCCAGTAGAGTAGATCGATGTTCATGATGTCTGTTAGAGGACTGGCTGTCCCAGACTCGATTATTTACAGATCGCCTTCATATAGCTGATATATTGCTGCGTTAAACAACAAACAATTCAAATCCTTACTTAGACTATTAGTAAATCACTATGACATATGCTCATTAAGTAATTTCTGTCGCTAATGCGACAGCGTGTTTATCTTAAAAGGTGATATTGGTGAAATGACGTCTATCATCGCCTTCAAGATTGTTATAGTCATTTAGTAGCATACATAGACAGGTGAAAGTGTGCTTATATCGGTCCCGTCTTATATCTGTGCTTCTTACAATGGTGAGGTAAGGTGAAATATGGTTTAACGTCGTGCTTGAGAATATTTCGCTCATATGACGACGTGCATGCGTGTGTATGTGTATGTGCGGCTGCTTGTACTAGCCCAGACTTAAGCTGGTTTTATAGTGCTAGTCCACTGAGATACCACGCCGCAGTGAAGCATGAATACCCCACTCAGACACAGTATACTGACTCCGAGCCGACCAGTCCTTGTTGAACCCATTAATGCCGAGCGCCAGGCAGGGACCAATAAGTACCATATTTTAACATCTTTTGGTATGACGCGGTCGGGGATCGAACCCGCGACCTTCCGCTCTCCGGGCGGACGCTTGCTTACATGGGCCTAATGGATGCGAAGAACGATTTGTGCATCCATTTAGCCATGTCCTCCGCTGAAGACGCAATAGCACCTGCAGCCTCTCCTGGATGTATGCTGTGGAGAAGCAAGATCAGGACATACGCATACATCAAATGCGGATTTCAATAGGAATTTTTGTTCATGCTGTTAATTCCTGAATTTCCTCGCCTTGACTTGGTTATGTACAAGCATCGTGGACTAATGGGAACCATGTTGACTGTGACTCAAAGAATAAGGATTCATCTGTCATTAAATGTCCCCACTGGTCGCTGTTATTTCTGATAAAAGACGATTATAAATCATTAAACACTTAATGAACGTGCTCTTGAGATTGAATGTGGGCTTCATTATTCAAAAACCTTTAATTTTCAAATGATAGGAAAGAACACATGTAGGTACAACATGAGCAACGTACTACTGACATCCAGAATAATATCCAGACGCAGAGAGGTATTTGTTTTGCAAATGCCAAAAATAAGCAAAACCGAATAAATCTTACTCGTAAATTGAGGGATCCGTTAATATGAGCTTGTTCTCCACATTAAAGTACGGTTTTGCCATTTATGTTGCATTTGTCGTTATCGTCTTTCTCAGAACACGTGACTGGTTCATTCCCAGTGGTTTGAAGATTCGTTTCTCCAGAGTTGCTTCGTAAGATTCTCCTGACAACACTTCCACAATACGGCCTAGCAGAGCATACGCCCAGTTGTTGTAGTCGTAGACGACACGGAACAGTTTAACTTCAGGAAGACATCTGAAACGCCTGTATAAAGAATGACAAAAACATCATAAGTGGCTCAAACAGATTCGTTGCAACATTGCACTGTGCGATTACACTGTGTAATTATCAGGCAAATGAATATATTTAGCGAAGACACACTGTGTAAACAGTTGTTATTAGTAGGGCAGGACGTGCTTTCAGTTACGAGAGAACCATTCCTTGTGTAAGCATCAAGGATCGGGTTTAATTAAGTGACTTGACAAAAGCGATTTAGATCCGTTTTCTACTGTTTGGTCATCAATGAAATATAAACATTGACGACCGGCATGCAATCATCAATAAGTTGAGGTGTGAAGTGTAATCTGATAGACATCACTCTTTCACAGGTAGATAACTGGAATAAAAAAAAAACTACGCACATTGTATTGGAGATTTAGAAATAGGGGAATTTGGTTTTTATATAGCTTTTAATTCTATTTCTAGTACAGTATTGTGTGTTTTAGGTTCTCTTAATGTGGAAGAAAACTCACAGGAATTCCACGAGCACGAGAGTAGTTCTGATAAATCTAACAAAATGATCGGGACTAATATTGGATTTGCGAAAACATTCAGTGGATACTGGAGAGGGATTAGTGGACACCTCCTGTGGAGAACTTAGATGACTAGACAACGGGAACCCTCTGTTCTGAACAGAGAATGAATTGCTGACTTTGACTGTTAGTGGCATTACCTTCAAAGGGGGTTGAAGTAGCGTAAAATTATTGTCCCCCTGAGAAGGTATGTAAGTCCCATTTCATTCAAAGGATTCTTCATACCACGTTTTTAATCGTAGAATATGTGTTTTTTTAAAGTATGGCTAATTTTGACTACAATCGCCAATGGCTGAAGGGATGATGTAAAAACAGCTAGGGTTCATGCAGGTAGAAAAGGTACTCTAAGTCCCCATGGTCCCTAGTATGGTGATCTACCTTCAGTTGTTGGCGATCTATAGCACCTTTTTTCTATTGTATTGTTTTTCATAGTTAAGATATTTTAGATTTTAATTCTAGTTATTTTTACTTCGCCGACAGGTTTTTATAATGATTTATTATGACATTATAACTTGTTAATAGTCACGATATGGCTGAAATATTGCCGATGTTACTTAAACTTTTAACTCACTCACTCATTGTTATGAACACACAAGTGTCCTAAAACAAAACGGGTTTACTTGGCAGAATCGATATCAGCTCTCGTGAAGTTCTTGGCAAATCCCGCAAACATGGCTAAGACTGCAGGCTGGAGGCCAGTGCGGTGGGACAAAAGATCCCTCAGGGTAGTCTCCCTTGTTCTCTCCTTGTCCACAAATCAAAATCTGGCCCCAACACGCCCTTCACCTTTGACTTCCACGTTAAACTGTAACAATAATTGACACGGACAGACACAATCGTTTATAAGAGTAACGAACAATATTCTCTAGAATCGACCATTCTTCTCTGTACATAAATGACTTGGTTAAACCTCCAACACTCCCCGAAAAGTATATCTACATTCATAAATAAGGGTTGATCATTAATGGGTTGAAATTAACATCAAAATGTGTCTGTAAAGATAAAGGGTAGGCGAGGATTCTGTATTATTACTTCAAAACACATTTAACAGAATAACTGATTATCTCAATTCCAGTAAACTAATTTTAATGTTCATTTGTTTGTCAACTTTAAATGATACACCTTATATACTTAAATACACTTATTATTAAACGTCATTATCCAGTCATCTATCTATTACTTAACACTAACATAAAAACGGTATTAATATCCCGGACGTGACTCCCATTTTGACAACTTCTATTCATTCGGTAGTAACTCTTGTATAGAAGGTAGACTCGTACATCACACTCATGAGTAACCAAAAAGTGTATAATCAGTTTTGTATGGCATAGGTCGTACATGCTTATATTTCCACTATGACGTTACACACTCTCTCTCCACGTTGTCTTATTTCCGGCAACGTCATTGGCGCATGCCTCTGAATATGCTAATTTAAATTAGAATAAAAACGTCTTCAGTAACTTTCAGGGATCTGAAGAAACAAACACACCTGTGTCCTCATACTTTGAATGAGACGGTGCCCTGGTTTTAAAATATATCTAAAATCATGTTTTTGCAAAATGATATTAATTCAGTCGAGTTAAGACATGTCAACGCAATGAGGTAACACCGCCCATAGTTACGCAGGTCTTCAACGTCCGTCATGGTTTCAGCCCGCGAGCGCAGGTATCGTTATCTTGTCCCGATTAACGTGTTAGACAGCATACTTC